GGGTTCCATCGGCCCTAGGGAGCTATTATTAGCAGGGAGGTTCCCTCCCAGAGAGGAGCTCACAGAAGTGACATCAATAGTCAGGATTCCGGAGTTCAGAGCCTCGTCTGACCCACCTGCAGAACCGCTAGCATTGGCAGGTGTGTCAGAGAAGAGCGCAGCAAGATCCATGTTAGTGAGCTCGCTTTGGCCTGGGCTGCTGAGTTCATTGCTGGGAGTAAGAGAACTTGGAGCTTCTAGCTGAGGTAAGAGATCTGAAAAAAGAAGGAATACACTCTGGTTACTTTACGACCTCGAAGACTGAGTACTTTTATTTATATCCATGATGTTACCAAGTGATGTCCCGAGGAAGCACTGACTGTCTTCTTCCCACACCCTGAAGCTTGGTTATCACTACAGAGTCCCACGGCCGGTCACTTGGGGCAACCGACACGCACCCTAGGAAGGGACAGGAAGGGATGCTGGCTGATGTCCGACACTTTACGTACGTGTCTCAGATCCTCAGGGGGACAGGCTTTCTCCATGGGAAACAACTGGAGAGAGATTAAATAACATCTCCTAAGGTCAGGCCAACTGCTAACAGCAAGAAGCAAGGTAAGATTTGCATCCACGTCTTACTGGCTTCAAAGCCTGTGCCCTCTCCCCTCCCAGTGCAATGGGAGCTGCCCGAGATGACTGAACCTTTCACGGCACATCTTCCTCAGCTGCCAGTTACTAGCTGGCCTGTGCTCTGAGAATATTTTTGGAATTAGCTTGTCAGCTCATGTTTGCCAAACTCTGTGCTCCACAACCAGTTGCCACCCCAAGACCAACTCGAGCTATATAGGGGTGAACAAAGGAAATTTATATAGGGGTGAACAAAGACAATTTTGGCTGCTTGGCAAAGCCTAGACAGACCCGAAGTTCCAGGTCTAGGCAATGCATAGAACTCAGACATCAGGACCTCCAGGCAAGCTTGGGGCCCCCTAGACAGAGCTTTTCCTCCTGAGTTTTCCCTCCCAGAGCCTCCTCCACCACTGCATCTCCAGCCTGGCATTTCCCCATCAGGACTGCATGCCTCCTGAGGGTGGAGAGCCCGTCTGACCACCTCTGTCCCTTCAGCCCCCAGCGCAATGCCCAGCCCTGATGCAGCATGTAATGATTATAACAGGCCCTTCTTCATCTGGAGTCTTAATTTTTCGTCATAACACACTTTATTTGATTGCTATTCAACTAAGTAATTTAAATAATCGGCATACCTTTGGGAGAATAATGACTTCCAAACAATTTCAATGCATAGGCAAGTTTAAGGTTTGTGTACAAGTACGTGCCAATCACACCAAATCACAGGATGCTTCAAGCATCAAGCAAACAGTAAAATGAGAGCATAATGAATTTGGGCAAAAGAGCCAAATAAGGACTTGGTGTCATCCTTTCCTAAGGACTGTCCTGGCAGCTTCCTGACTGCCAGTGCCTGGCCCAGAGGAAAAGCTGCTCTCAGTTCTCTGGTCCTATTTCTCCCACACTAGCTGTTCCTGACCCCAAACTCATACCTGCAGGCTGTGAACACTGGTCGGAGTGTGTATTATATTTTATAATGCAAATCTACAAAAGAAATCTATTCTCAACAAAAAGAAAATCAAATTCAGGATGTATCCTCTTTGTCATATTACTGTAAAGCTTAAAAAAAGCATCAATATAGTATCACTTCTTCAATAAATATCCCTTAGTACCAATGAAGCATTTTGAAAGAAAATGGTAGTGATCCCTTGGCGAAATTTAAAATGGAAAACTATGTTTTTCAAAACTTTCTAAAAATTCCCTTGACTCTCTTGAGGACTCAGCTCCCTGTGAAGAGATCATGAATAATCTCAGTGCAAATGATACCCATTTATTAATAAATTTCCTATTTAGCACTTTACTAATTCTATAAACATTTACTACTACAGACCAGACCTGTACAAGGGCCAGATATTAACACAATCACTAAATAAACATTAGTTAGCAGAGCATCTAACAAAACAGTCATGATCACCACAGTTCAAAGCCCAGCCCCAGCCCTTCCTGCAGGTGTGAACCTGGCAAGTCCTTTCTATCTTGGTTTAATCAGAGACAAAGCAGTGAGGAGCCCACTCCCAGAACCACCGTTATGGGGACTGAAACAACCCATCAAGGGCATGACGTAATCCCACAGTAACTGGGCGTTCTCGAGTGCCTGTTTTTCACTAGGCGAAATGGTGACACATGGTCTTCTACCCCTGATAGCTGGCAGGGGAATGACACATAAATAAGTCATTACTGCCCGAGAAATTCAAGCCTGGGATACACAGGCTGCTACAGAAGAGGGACTCACATCCTACCAGAGTTTAAGGAAGCACATCTGGTATAACCTTGGATCTCTGCCGACTTCTGAATTGGCCAGGTCAAGAAAAGGGAGGCGTGCCACGAGAGGGAACAGCCAAACAGGGGAGAGGGCTGAGTAACATTGTCTCACAGAGCACTGAGAAAAAGGGGGCCCGGTCATAAGGACTTCTGTGAGCAAAGGTGATACCTGCCAACATGAATCAGGTAGCAGATACATTCCCTGTCCTCAAGACACTGCTGAAGCCAGAAGGGCAATTTCTTTAAATACAAAGCGGAATGGCGGCTGCTGTAAACTGTGAAAGATCAGCGTTCTAGATCCCAAGGAGGGGCTTCATGACCACTTCTAAACAGGATCACAAGAAAACAAAGGTCACAAACCTGCCTTGAGCCCAATCCCTCATCAAGCTCTGTGTGAGGCACTGAGGCCTGTCCCCTGCCACGGTGGCAGCTGGGGGACACAGATGCACCACAGGCCAGTGCTCTGCTGTGGTGCTGTTGGTTACATAGGCGATGTGAGGAGGACCCAGTTGGTGACACACACAGCCTCCACGGACTGAGCAGCAGAAGTAACTCTACAGCTAGCTAGGATGTCATCAGCTAGCTAGTGACCACCACACCATGCCCTAGAGAGCAGGACACATCAACATGCTCCCTGGAGGGGCTGCCACCACAGCTGCCAGGCACTTCTACACCCTGGACTGTGGAGAAGGCCTAGTGGGGTAGGTTTTCAAGTCCCATGCCACAAAGATGCCCAATAACCAGGCAGTCACACGCTCAGCATTCACCTCACAGGTCGCCAGGCCACCATCACCTTCCTCTCTAACCCTGCCCTCTCCAGCCCTTGCTCCTCCCAGTCCATTTCTGAAACACAACTCTGCTCTGGTCTTTGTTAGTTGGAGAGAGAAGAGCTGAGGCAGACAGAAATGCAGGAGGGACAGGGTCAGAATTAAGGACAAAAGTCCTACTGGGAGACACAGACTTAGGGGACATATGCTAGGGAAAGTCAATGAAGTGAAACATCCTTCCAGGAGAGCACTTCAAAGACATGGGAGAGGCCCGACACAGTGGCTCATGCCTGTAATCCCAGCACTTCAAGAGGCTAAGGTGGGCAGATGGCTTGAGCCCAGCAGTTCAAAACCTGGGCAACATAGTGAAACTCTGTCTCTATAAAAAACAAAAAAATGCAAAAATTAGCTGGCCGTGGTGGTGCATGCCTATGGGCTCATCTACTCCGGAGACTGAGGTGGGAAGACCACTTAAGCAGCAACTGAGGCTGCAGTGAGCCATAATGATGCCACTGCACTCCAGTCTGAGTGACAGAGGGGGGTCGTCTCAAAAAACAAGACATGGGAGAGATTAGAGGGTCAAAGGCAAGAAAGTGGCAGAGAGAGTACAAAAGAGGCCACTTGGCTTGGCAGCCATGCCCACAACCCCACTGCCCGACGCCTTCCAAGAGGTGAAGAAAGAATGAATGGCACTGGCACTACTGCCGTTTCCCACTGGCAAACAGCTCCCCACAGGGGCCATGGAAAGTGCAGACCTTGGCGCCGGCTGTGCTGTCGGACCATATGCGCCTTCATGCTGTGCTTGGAGGTGAAGAGTCTGTTGCAGGTAGAGACTGGGCAACGGCTTTTCGGAGCACCCACGTCCTGCACGTGTTTCTTAGAGTGAATGTACAGACTGCTACGAGCGGAGAACCTCGCGCAACACCCTGGAACAAAAAGAGTGGTGAGCGTGAAACCTGAGGATCACCAAGGAACCAGGAACAAGTGACACTTCCTCATCAGATCAGAACCACCAGACCTGCACTTCGCACCCTGGCCACCGGCAAGGACAGAGACCAAGTACCTCTGGGAGTAGCATCATGAGCAATTGAAGTCATATGCAAACAGTTTTCAAAAAGTAAGAGATACAGTTAAATCCACAGGGAGGTTTGAAGTCCTACCTCAGCTATGTCTAAGCAACCTCTGTGCCTATTTCTTCACCCACTACATGGGGATGTTGGGAAGATTAAGTCAAATTAAGTATTAATTGCTTAAGCTTCAGTTGCAAAAAAAAATCACTCTAATCATCTTGATTAAGCTATTACCATAAAAAAGAAAGACATTTAGATCTGGAAACTATCTCAACAGATCACCAAAGCCAGTCCTTTCATTTTCTCACTGAGACACTGATGCCCACGGAGACTGAGTGTCCTGGAGCCCAGAGCTGGCATCTCCTTGCTTACATACCCAACCTGCTTATGTCTCTGAAATGCACACAGGCATCAGAGGAAAAACAAGATACATTCAAAGTTATAGTCATCTCCCTCTATGCCCTGGTTTTCCACTACGCTGGAACTCTGCTCCACATGGGCATAGGGAGGAGACGTGGAGCTCTTAGTGGCCAGAGGCCTGTGACCCGGTGGGGCAAATATAACACCCAGTTGCTGCGATAAAGGGCAGAACGAAGTCAGGGCCACCACCGAAGCTTGCGAGCAGCAGAGGACACTGCACACCTCCAGAGAAGGTAAAAAAGTGGTCTCCAGAGTATGTGGCATTTGAGGTAACTGAGCCACCCCGCAGTAGAGCAGAGGGCGCTCCCGTCACAGGAGCTACCCAGCCAAGGCATGGGGACATGAAGGGCAATAGTGCAGGTGCCCCAGCCTGGGTTCCAGTTCAGCCTCTTACCGGCAGTGTGGCCTTAGACAAGTTATTTATCCTTTTGCAGGTCTCCTTTTTCTGTTCTGTGAAATGGGAATGACACCTACCTCACAGGGGCCGAGGGCCCAATAAAGCCATACCTGCCTACAGATCCTCTGCATGTGCCTAAGCAAGTGAAGCGAGCAACGACGCACTTGAAGAACTTTCTCAGGATGGTGAGGTGGTACTGTTGGAGCCCAGAGGATAGAGGAGGGATATTTTAAGGAAAGAGGCTATGAAGATAGGATACAGCCAGATGAGTAAGGGCCTTGGCTGCCTCTGAATGTGGTCTTGAAATATATTTTTCATTTTCTAAAACAGCTGCAAACTCGTTTCCAGGTCAGGCTCATTAAAGACCATCTGGGAAACACAGCAGATGTTCCGACAGCCCAGGCTTGTGCAAGTGCACCGTTTCCTATGCATGCCCTGCTCACCACGGCACACAGGGTACCCTGGCACGCCCTTTCCCAGCTGGGTTTCCTGATCTCTAGAGACAGGTCACAGAGCAAAGGCTCTGAGCACATCTAGGTTCTATTGCCTTCCCGACGGCAGGGCCATGCTACAACAGGATCCTTGCACACTCTTGCCAGCACCGCATTTCCACTTTTTAAAATATTTGCTAATTCCAAAGGCAAAAAGAAATATATTTCATTTTAGTTTGCAGTATTTCCTGTGACAACCAGGAGTGTGATCATTTCTCCACATGTACTAACTGCTGGCTTTTCCAAATTCTGCCCGTATATTGAGATCTGTATTCATTCTTTATATAAGCTGCATCCTGGGACAGGCAAAAGCAGCCATCGCTGACAGACCTGTCTGCAAAGCTGCATTCAGAGGACAGCCAGGCACCCAGATGGACAGCCAGGTGAGCATGAGGCTCAGCAACACACGAGACACAGTCCCCAGCACACACGCCCCTGAGACTGCCACAGTGCCACCCAGCGCCTGCCCTCAGACACACTCCCGTCTGCGACCCTGTCCTCACCTCCTCCTGTTACTGTACAAAAGGTAAGTTTGCCTTTTACTTTTTATCATAGAACAGTTCAAACATGCACAAAAGTGGAAAAAATGGTGTCATCAGCCCCAACTATTGCTCAACCCCAAGAATGATCAACTCTCAGTCCAGCTGAGAAGAGGTTCTAGGCTCCTCCCACCAGCTCCAACTCCATCTCCATGTACGGCTCACATACCACATGAGTGCCCCCTTTCTCTCCTAGCACAACGCCTAGACTTGCTATAAGAAACAGAGCTCTACAGAAACAAATGCCCCGTCCTCCTCAGCCAACTCCCACCTTTCCCCTTTCCCACTCACCTCTAGCAGAAGTGTCAGCACAGACCATCCCTGTCTCCCACTAAGGCCACCTCCCAGAGCACCAGAGCAGGACTCTGCCTGAGTGACCCCACAGAATCTCATCCATGAACACACCAAGACGACCCCACAAGTGGCACTGAGGCATGTTTTCCCTTGTCCTGGCTCACCCTAGCACTCCAGATGACCCCCACTTCCACACATCCCCTCTCACCTCAGCACCATCCCCTCTGAGCTCTTACTGGCCCTGCCAGTACCCATCCCAGCCACTCCACCAGAATCTGGGGCAGCCCCAGGGCCCTGTCCTAGGTCCTTTTTGAGAAAATCTAATAGCAATCATAACAACGACAGTAACTGACATATATACTGATATTTTCCATATGCTCTAAACAGCAATCAAACCAGCCCCCAGAACAACCCTGGAAGGTTACAAGGAATAGGCATAGAGAGCTTCAGGTACTTGTCCAGGCTCCTAGAGCTACTTATGTGGCAAACTTGGGACTCGAATCCAGGTAGTCTGACTCCAGAATTCAGACTTTTGATCGACTATATTACTGTCTCTCCTCCACGTGTACTCTTCCTTGAGAATTTAATCCACTTTTATGGCTTAAACAATAACTCAGGTACATCTGCTTCATTCTCTGCCTAGCCTGCTCTCCCAGCATTGGCAGCACATCCCCTGCCCTCTGTTCATGAGATGCACAAAGGTCCCGAAAACACAACACATCCAAATCAAACTCTGCTTCCTCCAAATCCGCTGAGACACTGACCCCAACTAAAATCCAAATCCATCACCACATACCGTGACTTCTAACTCCTACCTCTGCCGTCTATGCCCTTTCTCTTTTCCTGGTTAATGCCCCCATCCAAGCCCATCCCACTTCCCCACATCCGTCTGCTTTCAGCCCTGAAGCCAGAATGAGCCACAACTCAAATATCATCACATCACACGTTCACTCAAGCACTCAAGTCTGCCGCTCCTGACCCTAAGAGGCTCTCCCAGGTTGGTCTGCCTCCAACACCCACAGGATGTGTCTGGTGTTCTTCCCCCTTCATCAGCTGACTATGAGGCCGTTCTCACCCCAAAGAGCAGTCTAGGGGAACCCTCTGTGCCCCTGCAGCACCCTACGTGTTACCTGTTTCCCTGTTTGCACCAGCTGACACTCTGACAGAAGGAGAAGCTGTGTCTCAGTTACACCACTTGTATATATTTTCATTTTGTTCTAAGAGCTGATCTCAGCTTTAAATGGGTCTTTATTATTCTCTCTTCCAGATAAAGAAACCAAGGCCCAGAGAAGCAGCTTGCCTGAGGTTACCACTTTAGGGAGCGGTGGAGCCAGACTTTAAATCCATGACCACCCGACTTGCCCTGGCTCACTGCCTCCCAGTGCACCTGCAGCACTCAAGTAGGGCCAGCATGCACAGGTCACGCAGCTGATTTCTGGCAAATGAACTGAGCCTTCAGTGTTTTAAAGGAAAAAGCCTTTCTAATACCCCTTTTAAAAAATCAGATTGGGCGTGGTGGCTCATACCTGTAATCTCAGCAATTTGGGAGGCTAAAGCGGGTAGATCACTTGAGGTCAGGAGTTTGAAACCAGCCTGGTCAACATGGAGAAACCCCCGTCTCTTACTAAGAACATAAACATTACCCAAGTGTGATGGTAGGCGCCTGTAATCCCAGCTACTCAGGAGGCTGAGGCATGAGAATTACTTAAACCTGTGAGGTGGTGCTTGCAGTGAGCCAAGATTGTGCCACTGCACTCCAGCCTGGGTGACAGAGCAAGATTCTGTCTCAAAAAAAAAAAAAAAAAAAAAAGATTAGTGTAGCTTTACTGCTGTCTAATCACAAAATGATTGGAGCCACAATTCAAACATGATCTCAAAAGTACCTACCATTTACTGAGTCCGAGCTCCATGCCAGATGCATAAACAAGCATTTTCTGCATTTCACCTAATCCTCACAACCACCAAATTAAACAGTTAACCTAACTAGAGCCACAGATCTAGTCAAACCACATCTGATTCTCAAGTCACTGCTCCCAAGCAGCTAACACCTTTGAATAATGGAAACTTAACATAAATGCTGGAATGGTACTTAGTTTACTGCTCTAAGCAGTGTTTTAAAACCTACCTTCCACTGGACACTCGAACGGCTTTGTGCCTAGATGGGTTATGCTGTGGCCTTTCAGATGCTCTGCTCTCGTGAATGATTTTCCACAGCCTTCGACAGGGCACGTAAACCTCCGGTCATCATCATGTTTCCTGCCAGACAGAAAAACAAAGGCGCTGTGATTCTTCAAACAAGTCATGGTGATTCTTTGTTTAAAATTCTACAAAATATACCAAAATATAAATTTGAATTTATAAAAATGATCAGTACATTTCAGAAAATCTTAATTCTGTCTTTAATCCATGTGAGCAGATTTGCAATTTAGCTACCCCACAGTTAAAAATTCTACTTTAGGCTGGGCGCAGTGGCTTACACCTGTAATCCCAGCACTTTGTGAGGCTTAGGCAGGCAGATCACAAGGTCAGGAGAGCAAGACCATTTTGGCCAACATGGTGAAACCCTGTCTCTACTAAAATACAAAAAATTAGCTGCATGTGGTGGCAGAAATCCCTTCTCTACCAAAAAAAAAAAAAATTAGCCACACATGGTGGCATGCACCTGTAGTCGCAGCTACTTAAGAGGCTGAGGCAGGGGAATCGCTTGAAGCCAGGAAGTGGAAGTTGCAGTGAGCTGAGATTGTGTCAGTGCTCTCCAGCCTGGCAACAGAGTAAGACTTTATCACACACACACACACACACAAATTCTACTTTAATGACTAAGCGGACCCCAGAGTCACACATCAAACAATTAATGCTACTTCAATCTAAGAACAGTGGAGTCTCAAATGTATTGATGAAGGTATTTAACTGTTTAGAAATCCCCATGATCAACAAGTTTTCCAGTGATAGAGGGCCGTGAGAAATGTGCAGAGCACCAGCTGCAATGCTAAAAGGACTCTCTTAAGCCAATTTGTAAAGGCTGCGTCTTTTCCTAAGTGACATTTTTATATTAAATCCTCAGAGTCCAGCTGTGTGTAAGCACAGAAAAACCACCAAATCTCTCCGAGTCTCACTGTAAAACAGGGAGAATAAGAACATCAGCTTCAGAGTTATCGTGAAGATAGAAGACCCACGTAAAATGATGAGTGTCACCTGGACACAGTCTCCAGGGTTGTCATTATACCAAGAAAACTTGTAATTACATGAAGAAAGCTTATTCTACAATGTTTAAAAAGTTTTAAAAACTGGAGCTACTTTTTTAAAAGAACAGAGTATACAATCAAGAGTATGTATATTTTTTTTAAAGTATACATAGAAAAAACTGTCTTCAGGTGATGAGATTCTGAGTAATTTTCTTTCTATAGTTTTCTGAATTTTCCAAATTAACACTGAGCTCCTAATTTTCTTTTTTTAAACTTAAAAAAAAGTCTACAGATATTTCATTCATCAGTTTCTGCTGCTGACAAACCACTCATTTTCAAAGCTGATAATGCAAACCCACATGTAAGGATTACCTTCTGTGCCTCAGAAGTTTGGACATGCTGGTGAAGGTCCAGCCACAACTGTCAGAGTCACAAACAAATGGTCTTTCACCTTATAAAAGAAAAAATTACACAGCATAAAATTTACAATTCCAACAGCTACAATGAAGACAAATCTTGGATCTGAATGCTGCACGTTCCCTAGCGCATTACCTGTATGGCTCCGCAGGTGAATTTTCAGCCGACAGGCTTTATCATACTGCTTGCTGCACCCAGGAAAGGAGCAGGAAAAGAGCTCCTGTTCCCTGAAGTGGGCTCGGTTATGGGAAAACAGGGCACTCACTGTGATGAATGTCTTCTCACAGCCTGAACAAAAAAAACACAAACCCTGGCAAAGCGTGGCAAAAATTATATGACACAGCTAATGCTAGTCACACCCACCAGACACGGTTAGCACTGAAGCAGACAAGGAAAAACATGGCTCAGAAGCACTCTCTAAAAAGGGATAACCATTAATGCTTGGCTTTGTGATCACCACAGGAAGGCAGCTAACGGCAGCCAATAGGCACATGCTGGCCACCTGTTGCGACATGACTTGGAGATGAAGCAACTAATCAAGAGAAAGTCCTCCGTTCACAGCCATCTACTGGCTGGCTCTAGAGCACTGATCCTGTACACAGTCAGTGTACCTTCCAGGAACTCAAATGTCAATGCTGAGACCCAAGAACCCCAAGAAGGGAACCAAATACTAAGGAACAAGTTTTGCATGGTAGGGTTGATCTTTGAAAAGTTACAAACCACTCTACTAGCTAGGATTTTTCACCCCCTGGGGATGATGTTCCATCCTCTACATATCCAAATTTCCTCCCTGACACCCTCCAACTGCCAGCCCCATCCCTTGCTATTTGGCTTCTTTTTCCTTTTGCCATTTCCTTAGGATTCCCTGCTTTGTAATCTTCACCTCCATTCTAATCCCCAGCCAAGCCTCAGCAACTCCACAGCAATGCTGCTCTTCTGACAGAAACATTCAGGGCTCCAACAGGGTGGATAATAGGAGGCTACAGGATGTTTAACAGGGGTTTTCGCTGCAGCTCTTCTCAGAGCCTTTAATGAGATACCATCATGCCTGTGAACTTCCACACAGATGTACACAGCATAACACTGCCCAAAAGTGTCAGCCCAAGGAACCCTACTTTCCCCAGCAACATCTAACCAGGAAATGCTGATCTTTGGCCTCCATCTGGTCCAAAAATAATCCCAGGGTATTTTGGGCTTTGGTGTGTTCACACGCTTGGTCATGTAAATCTCAACACAGACACTCTTGCCTTGGCAAGAACACCCTGCACTCCCATGGATAATTATACCCTTTGGTTCTCCCTCTGCAATCTCACCTGCTAGAACTTCTCACCACTCCTACTCCCTGGCTCAGGCCCTCAGCGATCTCAGGTCTGGGCCCTATGATGATACTTCACTGGTCCGGCTCCTGCTTCTAACCATTTAATCTCATCTCACACAGAAGTCTCAAGCCTGGGCCAACACAAAACCCTCAGTGGATCTAATGCCTGGAAGCAGGCAGGATCCCTGACCTTCCTAGTGTCATACACAGAATGATACTCTTTCAGCAGGGAAATAGTCACCATCAGATTCCCAATAGTGTATGACTGAAAAAGGCTCTGAGCCAGTAGCCTAAAGCCACCTTCTCTCTGAAAAGGGATGCGCAAGACAGTCTACAGGCATATGCGAGGGAAAAAATAACAAACCCCATTCATAATTTTCATCTCACCCTTTCAAAATTCCTGCTTGAGGACATTATTAGGAGACCTATATGCATTTACACATTAGGGGCATGCTAGGCACACATTCCAGTTTCTGTTTGAATGACTGGTCCTTCTTCCTGGACCCTCACCACAGCCCAGGGATTCCACCTGGGCTCTGCCAATCAGCCCACCCCATTCCCTGCCTTCCCAAGCAGGAATCCTCTCTGGTCCTCCTGGAGGAACCCTATCCCTGAGAGAGCAGGGAAAGCTGCCCATCATGGTGAAGAGCTCACTGTGTTGGAGTCCTACATTCCCTACAACTGCAGGTCAACAGAGTGGAGAAAGAACCGGCAGCGGACTTTATTCGCGATGCTCGGCCCCAGTCTCTTCATCTGTAAAATGAGGAGTTTTTAACCTTCGTAGACGGCTAATTTTTAAAACTTCACAGAACTGTGAGGTTCAACGGAAACTTTAAGTATGAAAGGCACACAAGCCAGGATGTGCGCACACCTGTGGCTATCCCCCCAGCGTGTTAAGATCCTGAATCCGGCCACAGTCATCTCTGCTCCTCCAGCATGGTGTGTGCACCCCGTAAATAAACGAGACTAAGGAAAATAATTATGCACCCGGCTCATAGCTCCGTGACACTCTGTGGAGATGCGCTACCACTTTCATCAAGCGCAATCAGGTTAAGGAGATCTGCTGCCGCCACCTTTGGGAAGCGCAGCTGTGGTAATCTGCGCTACCGGCCGTCGAAATCCCTGCAGCAAGGCAGGGCCAAGATCTCAAATGGAATGACATGGAAGGAGCTAGAACACAAACCCCGAAGAGCCTGCGTCCCCGGCTTGCTAAGATCTGGCAGGCCCCTCTGGGGGGAGGACGTGGCACCCCGGCCTGCCTGCAGCACCACGCAGCCCACCCGCCCCCGAGCGCGCGGTTACCGGGAAAGTCACACTTGTACGGGCGCTCAGGCTCGAAGTGGCTGCGCTGGTGGGAGCTGAGCTTGGCCTGCGTGTGGAAGCGCTCGGAGCACACCTCGCACTTGAAAAGGCTCTCCTGCTCGTGGCCCTTCATGTGCGCCTTGAGGTTGTAGACCGTAGTGAACTTCTTGCCGCAGCCGCCCACCGGGCAGCCAAAGGGGCGCAGCTTGTCGTGCGACTGCAAGTGCCGCTTGAGCTTGTAGGACGTCGTGAAGGCCCAGCCGCAGCCCTCCAGCGGGCACTTAAAGGGCCGCCGGCCCTGGCCGCCGCCGTGCGTCAGCAGGTGCACCTTGAGCTGGTGCTTCTTGGCGAAAGCCAGCGTGCACTGCGACTCGGGGCAGCGGTAGCGAGGCGCGCTAGGGCCGGAGGCCGGGGGCGCGCGGCGGGGCGCGGAGGGGCCTGCGGCCGCGGGACCTGACGGCGCAGTCAGCGCGAGGACGCCGCGGTCGAGGCGCACCAGCAGGTCCTGACTACGGATGGTGACGGCGCCTGCTGGGACTGCGACGGGGCCGGGGGCGGCGGCCGGGCCACTGGGGCCTTGCTCGGGGCGACTCACGGAGTCGGCTCGGGAGCTAGGCTCGGCCTCCTGTGATCCGACTGCCTCCGCGGCGGCGCCTTGCGGCACTTCCAGCAGCACCACGAACGAGTCACCGTCGCTGTCGTCCTCGGCGGGCGGCGGGCTCTGCCCGCAGGCCTCCCGGGGCCGCGCCCCGGGCCCGCCATCTTCGGGGCCCCGCACCAGTAGCAGGCGGCGGTGCGCGGGGCTGGGGCCCAGCGACGCTGGGGCCCGGCGGAGCCGCCCGAAGCTGCCGCCATGTTGTCCTCCGCGCACGGTCGGGGCGGGGAGCAGCGCCGGGAGGTCCATCT